TTTTGGGGTCTTGTTATTGTAAAAAACAAATTGACGTCAGTTTTTTTAATGTGTCTGTCCTCTTATTGATGATAAATTTTGTCATAACATTGTCAAAGTTTACTGCAGAACCACTCACCTGCAGCTTGTGGTTCCACAGCCACTTTGACAATGTTATGATGCAACGGGAACACCCTGCTTTGTAGTAATATGACTTAATTGGCCAAGACAGGTATGGGGTGAACTGCCGACAAGAAAAATACCCAGAGCCCTGTTGATAATACTAATGACAGATATAAAGGCAAATGGCATAAAAATGTGTTCAAGTGAAATAATTCAGTTCAGGTTTAAGTGAAAAAAAAATATGTCAGTTCACGTACATGTACCTGAAACTGAACATACAAATGTCCTAGTCACTGTCCATCAAAACACCTTTCTTCAGAACTTTCTTTACTTGATTCTTGTCTGTTAAATAAATGGGAAATCTTGGTAAATGAAGATCAAATATCATAAAGCGCTTTGCTTAGGAAACAATAAGCAATTCAATGCTACCTTGTTTGAAAGACTTGACTGTGGCAGTGGTGGCTTCCGGGAATGTACTCTGCAAGTCACAAAACTGTCTGAGATTTGCATCAACTCTTCTTTGTAACCTGCAGTAAAACATAAAGAAATTTCTTTAAGAAACTTTGAAGAAAAGCCTATGTAACAGTATTCATCAAGTGACATGCCTAAAGTTCATGTTTCATTCTTACAAGATTGAGTGTCTGGAAAACATAAAAACATAAGCGAAAAGTGAATATTGAATTGCACACAGTGAATAGTGGTGAACAATTTGCAAATAGTAGTAGTAGTCATGGTGGATCATGTGTCACCCACTATTGATTAATACTATCACCCGATATGTCGACCGACACTCAACCAACATATCGACCGACATCAGCCAACACGAATATCGACTGGCACTCGGCCGATACTTCACTGACACTCGGCCAACACTACACTCATTTGGTCAGCTCTTGTTACTGACTTCTTTCTTCTCTACTCAAATATTATATAGACCGATGGTCAGCTCTTGTTACTGACTTCTTTCTTCTCTACTCAAATATTAAATAATCTTCTCCAGCCGTTTGAGATGGTCTTTCGGTGGCCCTCGTCTGTTTTTGACTTTACATACTGGCAACATTCATCTACCTCAAAGACTGTTTTTTTCAGCTATGATTGTTGAGACCTCAAGTTGCATTAGATATGTACTCAAAATGACAGCAGTTTGAGCTGCATCCTTGCGCTATCAACATATGAGCATAGACGATAGAGATTCTTCTTTCGCGTCTCCTGTGAGTGAGGAGACGGCTGCTATTTCACCAAAACAACAGTTAACAATACACTGATACCACCGACAGTCGACCGATACACCAGCGACTGTTGATTGCAACATGTCAGTTGGGGTGTCGGCCTAGTGTTGGCCAACATACCAACTGATAGAGTCGACTGTCGTTCTATTAACTTGAACAACATGTCGACCTACACTCAGCCGACTCTCCGTCGAGATATCAACCATATATCAGCCAATATGTCGACTGACTGTCAGTCTATATATATCAGCCAATAGTATTGACCGATATTGAACCGACAGATGCCTTAAGTACAAATGATCCATCATGGTTACAATACCATAGCCCCCTCAACAGCATTACTGGAAAATTAAATAGCACTCCAGTCAGTCTAAGTGGCTTCGCAATTCCCTGGTTAGCCAGTTAGCCTGAACAACTCAACAGTGGTTAGCTTGTGTAAGGGTAACACAGAGTTACCCATGTAATTATTGAGAGCGAGCTGCTGTCCACTTAGTACTACATGTATATATTTTAGACTGTAATATAGTTGTAATTCAGGCAAACCGTGACTACTTGGACCATATGCTATAATGATTTTTGCCATTCACTATTTCAGGTCTCCAAACACCCTTCAAGAACTTGTACTTATACAGATTTTTCAAGAATGCTCCAAATGAAAAATACTTTTAACATTAAAATGTCAGTGCTGTTCAATAAGGTACCCCAGAAAAGTAGCAACTGTAATAACCCCTCAAGCAGTTCAATAAAAGGATTTTCAACCAGTTAAGTCATGGTGAGCATCAGTGTTACTTCGAGAGCTCTTTCCCACCCCACCCCCACGTACCTCGCTGTATAACAGTGTATAATGAACAATGCATAAACTATATGCTTCTGATGAGTAGTTCCATGATTGTAAAAGCCCATCCAGAAGCAAAAGAAGCCATCAAAACAACTTTAGTGCTGCTTCTACCCCTACCATTTCAGTGATTAATTCAACTCTTTGGTAGAGGGTAGATAAGAATATAAGAGATAAGTTTATAGTCGCCTGAATTCTGCAGCAGCAATTTGTAAGAACCTAAAAGAACATTTTCACTTCAACTCTTTGCTCCCCTAGATAATCATAGCTCTTCTCTCAGTTTTTCTACACTGTAACTGCTGCATTCAGACATGATTTCCTTGCTTTCTTTACCTTTGTCTAACTCCCTGTCCGCACAAAAACGAAACAAACTTCACCATATCTAGCGAGGTACATTAGTTCAAGGATACAGCATGGTTACCTGAAAAATCGACCACAATATCTTCATGTAAACGAACACGAATTGCCCAAGGGAAATAGTACTGGCGTGGAGGCATCTCGCCCTCCAGTACATGATCATCATAAATAGATTTTCACGTTTTACGCTTTTTTCGAAACATTTTCCATGGTGTTGGCACTTCAGAAAAAGTACAAGGAAACTGCAATCTTATTTTCGCACTGGTGCCTCATTTCTGTGCTCTAATTCTTTGTAGTCTCTGTATAAACAGAAAAAGTCAACTCTACTTCTGTCACACGACTAGAAAAGCCCCAAGTAACTGTATCTTTTATGTAAAAAAAA